ACAACCTCTAGCAAGAATCTTCCCAGACTGAAACCCCAGGTCCCATGTCAGCCAGCCACAACAGTGTGAATTCCTCAGGGAGGTGTCAGTCTCATCCTCTTGTAGTTCCCACGCTCCTGCGGCGAGCTAAAAAAGTGCTTATCTCCCTGAGCCTGGCCTTCATAATTCCATTCCATCACAAGGAGCAACTTGCAAGCTCCTGCCGGCTTTCTCACTGACCTTGCTTGTGGGAAGCCAGCTGGAAAGGTTGCAAATGGTGATCACGTGATTGTGGGACACAGCAACAGTTGTAATTGCAAACCAATTGCCAATGCTCAAATCACGATCACGTGACTGTGGGAATGCTGTGATGGCCACAACTTCATGAACCAGTCATAAGGCTCCTTGTTCAGTGCTGTTGTAATTTTGAATGGTCACTGAATGAGTGGTCATAACCTGAGGACTACCTTATAAGGTAAATTCTTGCAGAAGTAAGATACCATTTATTGAGAATGTTTATTGCTCTTTCTTTGCATTTTGGTTGATTGATAGATTGGAGAAGAAATTTAAATGTACCACAGATTATCTTTGATAGATATGAGTGTCCATGGCAGCAGGGAAAGATGAAACATGCATCTCAGTGTTGTGATCTTACAATGCAAATACAAAATTGTGGAGCTTGGTCAATTTGGCATAATTATAGTAAGCTGCAGAAGCTTCTGTCAATAGATTTAGTAAATTCATTTTCCTATTCCCATGCATGGAACACCAACCCAAAATGGCATTTGGAGTATGTCATCAATATACTTATATATATATAACATTATATAAAATACCTGGCTGAAAAGCAGCAGTTTCTGTGTAGGATTCATGAGGAATGAATACATGTACCTAATTAATTACTCGAGTGAATCTGGCAAAGAAAGTTACTCTTACAGACCCAAAGGCAGAACAATTCAGTTTCTTTTCTTAAGATTAGAACAAAGAAAAGAGGTTCCCCTTTATCTTACAAATTCAACAATCTATATACTTTGCTATCAACCTAGCAAGAAAGACTTGTGATATTAGTGTGAAGTAATTCTGGATTATGCAGGATTCTAGTGGTTTATCAATACCTTTTATTAAAAAATGTTTAATATATAACTTTAATATATAAATTGAATAAGCTGAAGACCCATGCAGGAAATATTAATTCCAAAGCAGCATCAAGCTAACATTCTTACTTGCTGTTTTACTGTCTTAGTTGAAAACAATAATTGCTTCCTTTGCATCATACCTACTGTATATTATGTTGTTCTAAAATAAAGCACTCTGCATCAGTGAACAGCTGAATTTTTGTGAAAATCCTCTTAGTATTTTTGTTTAATTTTAACCTTTAGGCTTCAATTTACTCTATATCACTTTTCCCCACAGCCACAAGAGATGACTGCAATGTGTAAAGATATTCTCCCCAAAATAGCTTCCATTCCTGGTTTTTTTCACTTGAACTTTACAACAAAATATTGGGTAATACAAATGAAAGGCCTAGCCCTTTAATTGGTTTTTAAAACATCCTTTTTAAAGACACTTCATTCATTCAATACTTTACCCTGGAACAAGCAGCAGAAGCTAGTGCAACTAAGTAGAAGGAGATTCTGTAGTGTCTCAGGTGCCAAGTCAACTCTTTAGCTGCTTTCCTGGGTGGGATTGGAGTTGGTGAAACAAGGTATAGAAAACCTTAAAGTCATGTCTAGCGGTGTGCCAAATGTTCTATTTTGAGGAAAGTTCTGGGCCCATTTTGAGGTTGGCCTATTTTTGAACCACTCAAAACGACCCAGAATGACTCAGAGGTCATTTCTCTCTGGAGATTTCAGCTAGTCTGATATTGTCCTCTTTCCCCAACCCTGTCCACCCACATGGTTCTAGACGGGGGGGGGGGACTTATTCTAGAATTGTCTCTTTGGTGTGGGATTTAATTTAATTGCTATTAATACTAGAGGTGGCGACTGAAAAAAAAACATTAGGACAAATGGAAAAATCAATTATTTAACACAAGTAGCATACGTTTAAGACTATAATTCTATTTCAGGAATTTATTAGTATCATCTTCCAAAGTTCATTGCATATATGGTGATCTTCTTTCCCTTTTTATCCTCATGAACCCTGTAGAATATATAAACCAAGACAAAACGAGAGAGACAGGAGAAAATGACCATCCTAAGAGCTCTGTGGCAGAGCAGTAATTTGAAATTGGCACCCTCTGGTTCTAGTTCAACAGTCTAAGCATTATCCCACACCAGCTCACTGAAGCATGAATGAAATTAAGCCACCCTATAAAGCAAGACAACTGTGTTTTTCTCCTTAAGGATTTGAAAGGCTGAGAGAGAGGGAGAGAGAGAGAAAAAAACAAATTATGATACATTTTTATTTCAAACATCAACATTATCAGTCTTATTACATTATTGTTTTAATAAAATAAAATATGGAAATAAATCTGATTCTCTCAGGAGATTAGTTGAAATTCAAGTACAGTCTTCTTATAGTGATGCTTATGAAATCTATACAGTATTTGGCTGCTAGTATATAATCTAATTCAAATAAAGTATTTAATAACATAAAAACATAGGTCACCTTTTTCTGTCTCCCATCCAAAATAAAACATAATTGATTTATACTGGAGAAGAATGTTTCTATCATATGTGTATACCGAGGTATTTATTATATTATTAACAAGGAGTTCTCGACTGCTTATTATCATTCATGTTTTCTGTAGCATACAACAGATAAATTATTTTCTGAATACTGTTAACAAACAATAACATTTAATCATTTAATAATACAAGGAGTATGATTCCCTTTTTCTATAATTCACTTTGTATTAAGCTGATAAATAAAATAATATAACTGCACAGTAACAGTCCCCCAAATAATCTGTAGCCTTTTTGTATTGCTTGAATAGAATTCTAGTCCTAAACAAAACAAAATAACAATAAACCAACAATAAAAGTAAAATAGCATAGTAAAATAATTTGTGCAAAAGCACTGCTTATACATCTATACTCCAGCTGAATATAAACACACCACACATTCTTCTAAAATAGATTCCCTTCCTCCCTGAATTTTTTTGGGGGGGAGGGTGGAATCTTTTCTCTTATAATTTCTATGATCTTACCTTGTAAGGTGAAAAAGCGAATAGACTTGTTTTGTAGCATAACAAGTTCATTATTCATATCAGTCCTGCTATAGTTTATTGCAGCTGGGAACATTTAAGCTTCTTTTGGGCTTTGTGACGGCAAATGTGAGTTTGAAAATAAACAGGAGGTCTAGAAAGGAGGAGTGGTTGGCTATCACTCACCACAGGAGACTTGCAACTAGAACTTTCTATTAATATGCAAATACTTAAAGAAAATGAAATTACACAACTGAAGATCAATGATTAATGATTGCTCGGTATAGATCTTCAAAACGATGCCTTTTACAATTTATTATGGATTTTATACATGCCACTAAACATTATTTAGTTGTTGACTAAATAATGCTAGAGCCTATAAATTAATAGTCATTCTACAAAATAACATTTGTGCTTATTGCTAAGGATTGCATGTTAAAGCAGATTTTTAACTTATATTAACTATTTAATACATGTTAATACATGAATGAATGTCATCTCTGAAAAAGGTATTTGAGATTCTGAGAATAATAGATTGAGTGTTCTTTTGCATCTAGTAATTCCTCCCTCCCTCCCTCCCTCTTCTTCATTCAAACCAGACTTGGCCTGTCCATAGGATAGGCTTTACTTGAACACTACTTGTTTAAGTTCAGCTTGCCCGCTCCCTTTTAATTTCCTTGAACACAGCAATATTTGTGACTATGACTGCAGGTTGTTTTGTTTTGTTTTTAGGGGGAGATTGCATATATGCATATTTATTTATTATTTATTTATTTTGCACC